GGCGTTCGAAGCCACCCGCATAATCAAGAGCTACAACAACCGCCCTACGCGATCAATGCCTATGCAGGACCACAGCCTCGACAAACGGAGCAGGCTATGCAACCACAACAATGGTACCCGCAGACACAGACACGACCCCCAGCGACCGCATACCGCGAGGTGACACCTTTCCCTCAGCAACCTACAAACCGAGTACCTGACAGACCCCTTGGCCTACCACATGACCCGTACAAGACGCTACCGCCGCGATGGTCTCGCAACGATCGGCTCGAAGCCAATACGATCACGCAGTTCTCTAAGCTATGGGACAATAGCAACAAGTATACAGGGAATGCGTACGATCTCCTAGACGATAAGATTAAGATCTTCTTCAGCATCTGCTGGCAGGTAGATATCCAGGAGGAGCAGTTTCACGCAGTGTTTCCCCGTATCCTTACCGGGCGTGCAGAGACGTTCTACATACAGGTTGTAGAGAGCGATGATAGCTTTGCTGATGCGTACATGGCAATCAAAAACCACTTCGACCATGACGTCCATCACCAGCACTACTACACAGACTGGACGACTACAACCTTCGCTCGCACCCGCGCAGAGAACCCTGATAAGGGACTACACGAGGTTCTGCAGATCCTGCTTGACAAGCTGCAGCTATGCCAGCGTGCCCTTGGCAAGAACTTTGAGGGTGAGGATGCCCTCCGCACTACGGTCATCAATGCCTGCCGAGGAGTACCAGAACTTGAGATGGCACTGTTCAAGCCAGCCACAATCTGTGAAGGACTCTTCTCAGATCTACGATCCGCAGTGGAAACACACCTAGCACGGCAACACACCGCCCAGTTGGTCACAGAAGATCAATACTACCTAGACCGCCGATACAACGGCAATGGAAGGATCCGAGGTGGATCTCGAGGTGGAGGAGGATTCAGAGGCGGATCCAGAGGAGCATACCGAGAAGGCGAGCAGCGCGACGACAACGGACGAGGATTCAAGCCACGTTGGAGGAAGAAATGCTTTGTTTGCCGGAAGGAAGGATGCTGGTCTACCAACCACACAGATAAAGAGCGCAAAGATGCCCGTGCGCAGTTCTTCTCTACGCTATACTTTACAGGTGCACAGCCCCCTGAGGACTTCTCCGTACATCTTGCAGAATACGAAGGGATCGAGCACACCAGCCAGTACAGTCAGAGAGGCTGGAGAGAGGAGGAAGACTGCGAGGATGACGAGGATGACGACGTCGCGGAAGCACATTCTGAACACCAGTTCTTCAAGGAGCAATGCCTTGCAGACCAGGCGTTCTTGCATCATATCTCGGGCGACGACATATACAGCCGAGACGCGCCGTCAGCACCAGCATCGCAGTTCCTGCTTGAGGACCGCTACACACGATCTGTGTACCAAGGAATCCTACCAGATACAGGCGCTGCAAACGTATCCACGGTCGGCAAGGAGCAATACCTCGCACTTACGAGAGAAGATCCGACGGTTAAGTTAGACACATCTACAGCAGGGAAAGCGTCTATTAAATTCGGAAAAGGCGAGGCTACAGCGTCGATTGGCACCGTGCAGGTCTCTACGGAGATCGGAAAAATCAACTTCGAAGTGCTCGAGGCGCCTACGCCGTTCTTGCTATGCCTTGCAGACATGGACCGCTTAAAGGTATACTTCAACAATACGACAGACGAGCTGGTTCAGGATGACGTACACATCCCGGTGATTCGCAAATGGGGACATCCTTGGTTCCATCTAAACAAGAGAGAGAGAGCAACTATGTTCCTAACGGAGACAGAATTGCGACGGCTCCATCGACGGTTTGGACACCCAGCTGTTACGCGACTAGTCAAACTCTTAAAGGATGCTGGCCATAACGACTTCGAAGAAAGAACCCTAGAAGAAGTCACTAAGTTCTGCCACCACTGCCAGCTCCACAGCTCCGCGCCGCGCCGATTCAAATTCACTCTTAAGGATGATCACCACTTCAACTATGAGATCCTGGTGGACGTAATGTACCTAAGCAACAAACCTGTACTGCATGTGGTCGATTCCTCAACAGCGTTTCAAGGCGCGAGGTTCCTCAGCGCTATCTCAGCTAAAGAAACATGGCAAGCACTGCGGATACTATGGATCGACACCTACCAGGGACCACCCGACATCATCACGCATGATGCAGGTACTAACTTCGCGAGCGCAGAGTTCCGCGCAGAAGCAAAGATCATGGGAGTCACATGCAAGCAAGTACCTACGGAGGCGCACTGGTCTATCGGCAAAACTGAGAGGTACCATGCCCCTCTACGCCGGGCATGGGACATACTCCATGCAGAACTCACTGACACTATGTCCGACGACGCGATTCTCCAGATGGCTGTGAAGGCTGTTAACGATACTGCTGGCCCTGATGGACTAGTCCCGACGTTACTAGTCTTTGGAGCGTACCCACGAATGACTGCAGAGTCACCGCCATCACCATCAATGGTCAAACGCAGCGAGGCTATTCAAAAGGCGACGAAAGCCCTGCGCAAGCTCACTGCAGAGCGCCAAGTTGCAGACGCCTTGAACACCCGCAATGGACCAGCCACTGCAGACATGCTCGCGCTCCCACTCCAGAGCGAAGTCTTAGTATGGAGAGAGAGTGATGGCTGGAATGGCCCGTACAAGATCGCCAGTACAGATGGCCACAACATCACTGTCGACATGGTTAATGGTCCAGCGACATTCAGATCAACTGTCGTTAAGCCATACTACAGACCAGACCACCTGTGGAGCGACCCTGATGCGCCACACGCGCCGAATGAGCCGAATGAGCCGCACGAGCCGATAGCAGTACCTCCGGCAGCGCAACCACGTAGAAGAGGCCGCCCTCCAGGGTCAAAGAACAAGCGGAAGGCGCACGCGTACATCACCAAGAAGGAGCAGGACGATCTTGAGCTAGCTATCAAGCTACGGAACGATGGCGTGATCACAACCTCAGGCGCCCCCTTTGAAGCGTCTGATGACCAAGAGATCAGCGACCTCGTAGGTCGTGGAGTCTTCAAGTTTGAGCAATACGACGAGAGGCTACACAGCAAGATCCGGATCTTTAAGTCACGCCTAGTACGTGAGGTCAAGGGAAAGACAACTAAGCCTTATGAGAAATCCCGTCTGGTTATCCAAGGCTACCAAGACTATGGCAAGGAGGCTATCTTAACGCAGTCGCCAACCATCCAGCGATGTAGCCAGCGCCTGATTATGTCGCTGGCGCCTGGGCTAGTACAAAGCGGCATGAGCGTTGAGCTACGTGATATTACGCAGGCATACCCACAGGCTCAGACAACACTGAAGAGGACGATACTCGCACACCTCCCTACCGAGCTGGTACATCGATATCCAGAAGGCACGATACTCCACGTGATCAAGCCACTATATGGGATCGCGGAGGCAGGAGTCCACTGGTGGACAACATATCACGGACACCACTGCAAGGAACTAGATATGTCAACATCTACGTACGACCCATGCCTGTTGATCACGAACAGCGACGACGCAGACGTCTTCGGCATCGTCGGTATGCAGACAGACGACACCCTCATGCTCGGAACGACCGCGTTCTTATCACGCGAAGAGAAAAAGATCCAGAAGGCGCAGTTTAGATCAAAACCAAAGGCTATGCTGACACCAGAGGTGCAGTTAGACTTTAATGGATGTACACTTACGATGGACGCCAGCAGAGTCTTAATCCTCAGGCAGAAAGGACAAGGAGGAAGGATTAGGCTTGTTGATATTAGGGCACCCGACCGCGCGCAACAGTACACCGAGCAACGCGCCCGCGGAGCGTACATCGCATCAACATGCCAACCAGAGGCATCATTTGATCTGTCCGTAGCTGCTCAAGCGCAGCAACCATCAGACGAGGACATTAAGGCACTCAACAAGCGCCTGAAATGGCAGATGGAGAATCTCACTCGTGGCCTACGCTACGTCACTGTCAACCTTACGGAGGCTAAGTTGATAGTCTTTGTAGACGGCTCCTTTGCCAACAACAAGGACCTCAGCTCACAGCTAGGCTTTGTCCTCATGCTCGTCAACGAGTCCATTGGCGCCAACACCTTCACAATACAAGGCAACGTGATCCACTACAGCTCTACAAAGTGCAAGCGCATCACACGGAGCGTACTGGCCTCAGAGATCTACGGCATGGTCAACGGCTTTGACATAGGCATCGCGGTTGCAACCACGCTAAGGATAGTTACAGAACGACTTGGACTACCTGCAATTCCCTTGGTTATCTGTACAGACTCGTACTCCTTGTACGAGTGCCTAGTAAAGCTTGGGACAACGAAGGAGAAGCGCCTCATGATCGATATTATGGCGCTGCGCCAATCATATGAGCGTCGCGAGATCACGAGATCGCTGGATCAATGGCGAAGACAATCCTGCAGACGCCTTCACGAAGGCATCGCAAGCGCGCTCTTGAACGCTTTATTGACGGCAATAAGCTGACAGTCCGAGTAGATGGATGGGTGCAGAGGCCAACAAGCTTTGATGTTTAATGCTATACACTGTCACTACCGATACAAGCAGAGTTACTAGCTATCCAGAAAGAAAAGACTTCCAGTGTCGGATCGTGAGTATCGGTAGAGACGTCGGCTGCTGGACACTTCGGCCCGACTTCGGCCCACCTTGCGCAAGAGCTTAGGTATACCTTCGTAGCACCTATGTTCGTAGATATCAATTAGAACCACCGAACAGAATGCATTCCTAGTTATCGTTATTTCCCTTTACGCACTTAGTGCAAAGCCAACCAACAACTTTGTTAATAATTTTGCGCGCATCGGCCGGAAACGCGCATCAGCTGAACCGAGACACCACCTATGGCCGGCTAGGTGATGGATTACGTTATTGAATATTACCCGGTGCATAGTTATAAACATCATCATCATTTATCCCCACGGAGCACAATCACCCCCACTGGATATGCTTGCGACGTCATCACTTCGTTACAATACTTTAATTTTAACCCCGCCTTTATTACTACTACATCTTACATCCCCACTCTTACTACGCACTTGTACGCGCAATGGCATCGACAGGTATTGCACTAATCGGCAGCGGCATTTTCGCGAAAGAAGAGCATCTCCCTGCCATCTTGGCTGCGGATTCATTGTCACTCAAAGCTATCTATTCACGGTCGAGGGCTTCGGTCGAGGGGTTAGCTTCCGGTCTGAGCGAGGGCGTGGGGAAGGAGTTGGAGTTGTATAGTGATGATACTGAGGGAAAGGGGTATGATGAGTTGTTGAAGAGGGAAGATATTGGGGGTGTTGTTATCGCGTGAGTGTAGTTTACTTTCTCGTGTTTTTGGAAAGATAAGAGGAGGATTGAATTGGGTACATTGCGTATATGCTAATATTGGTATACTAGACTTCCCATCCTTGTTCAGCCAGAATACATTACGAAAGCTCTCGCAGCCGGCAAGTACGTTCTCGCTGAAAAGCCCATTGCAAAAGACGTGGCCACAGCGCGCGCTCTGCTCGACTGGATATCCACCAACGTTCCCTCTGGCGGACCCACTCTCTCCATTGCCGAAAACTTCCGCTTTCTAGATTACTTTCTCTATGCCGCGGCCGAGATCAAATCCTTGGGCCGCCTTCTCGGTTTCCGTATGCGTGTGCACAGTCTTGTCAAACCAAGCTCCAAGTATTTTGAGACTGCATGGCGCAAAAAGCCAGAGTACCAGGGCGGATTGTTGTTAGATGGCGGGGTGCACTTTGTTGCAGGGATCCGGTTGATATTGGGGGGGTCGGGGGTAAAGATAGTGAAGACGAGTGCGTTTACGACGCGGTTGCAGGAGCATTTGTCGCCGGTGGATACGGTGGATGCAACAATGCAGTTAAGTAATGGGGCGAGTGGAACAGCGTCGATCAGCTTTGGAACGCAGTTCAGTGGATCAGAGTATGCCTTTGCTTGTGAGAAGGGGACGGTAGTTGTTACAAGGGCAAAGGTTGCCGTTAAGAGAGACGGAGAACATGGGGAGGTTAAGGAGTTCAAGGATGAGGGGAGTGGGGTGAAGCCTGAGGTTGCGGCGTGGGGTAAGGGGTTGCAGGAGGGAAAGATGGACCCTAGGCAGAGCGCTGAGGAGGGACTGAGGGATCTCGAGGTCTTGGAGGCCATGTTGACGAGCGGAGAGAAGGGAGGTGCGCCTGTAGAGCTCAAGCTGTGAGTTGGCGATCGGGACGGGCCAGACACGTAATATAGTCTGCATGTCTCAGAAAACGGCTACAAATGGACGTGCATCCCTACATCAAGGCTTGCATTGAGAACAAGCATTCCTCCCGAAAAAGACTGTGATGATACAGCGTTGGCTGCTAGCCATGTACCTTATTCAAGCAGCTGCACTTGCAGCTACAGGTTGGTCTACTGCATCACTAATTCCAGTTCCAGCTACATTGTTCGAAGTAGCCTCAAACTGTGTCTGGCACACATTTCTCGCGTCCTCTAGTTTCAGCTTCTGAAGGTCAATGGCCAGCGGATCCGACTCTTTTGTCGGCTCCGTAGCTCCGTCGTAGCCCGGCGGTGGCAGAGCCCACTCGGGAAGGCTTGTCTCGTAGTCCCAGTTACCTTATCCGCAGTGGTATCTCCTCGCATGCAGAAATCTGCCGAGATCGTGCACACTGGGGTCGCTGTACAGTGGAGTGTCGCATACGTCACATTTCTTGCCCGTCATCTTCTCTACTTTCCGCTTGTTATACTGGTCCACCATTTTGTCGTGATAGGTACGCCACATACCAAATCGGGGACATTTCACCGAGCTGACGTGGCCTTTGCTATGGTTAGAGACTTCTCTCCTCTATACAACCTTTAATTCCCCTCTCTTTCTCTATTATGCCTACTCACGAGCTCTCTA